ATAATACCTCAACTTTATCCAGCACTGCTAGGTTTGCTCTCCCAGTTCTTATGGATATGAAATTGGACCTCGACGTTTAAATAGTCTTTTCCATCCTTCCTTTCTGGAAAAAAAATATTGGAGTAAAAATGAGGCACAATAGGCTTATTGTAAAAGCTTTCGTGCCAAAAATTGTACATCATTTCTAGTTCACCCGAGCTGACAAGAGTTCTGAATGTGTTTTGCATTGCTTCACTCTGATCTTCCCACCACTGCTGGAAAAAAGCCTGTGCCACGAGCAATTATATCAATGTGCATTTCAGGGGAAGAACCATGGTTTAATCGAAGAAGAAGAAGGTTGATAGTTTCACATGTTCAACATAAATAAACTTTCTGTTTTTATCAGCCAATAATGCTGGATATAAATAAGAAAGATGATGTTCATACCTGGTTCTGGCACGGACAAGTACTGATCATTTAAAAATGCCTTTGCACCAGTCAAATATGCCCATGTTCACCTAGTAATTTAGAGCCCTTTTCTGAAGATCTTTTGGGCAACAATGGATGCTGAGGATATTTCTCTTCTAGATACTACAAAATTGTGGTGTCCAATCAACAATATCTTTTGATAGTAACGTGGAATATACCAAATTGACAATTAATCAATTCTATTTTGCTATAATTAATGAAGAAATTCACCAGTAATATAGCAAAAGAGTCTGCAACTACGAAGTCACCATCCACAAGTACTGGCACGTATCCAATTGGATTGAGCTTCAAAAACTTTGCAATCCCATTAAATAAAAAAGTGTAACAAAAAATTAATATGATAATAATCAACTGAAGCTACATATAACTTAGCAATACAGATAACAAGTTTATGTCAACATCTATACATAATTGAATGGAAAAAGGAGTGAAAGGGGAAGAGTCAAACCTGGAGATTTCTCATCTCCTTTGAGCAAGTTAATTGCAATATACTCATAATTTAGCCACGTTTATTCATTTCAAGGTTGCATTTGTTTCATTCATTAT